TGCCTGAGCCACGTTCCTTTAACCAAGTGAACAGTTCGAACAGAAAAAGATGCAAAAACTGGTCTGAAGATTATTGGCATCCGTGTTTTCCTAATGATATTGTATCAAATTCAAATATTCAGTGGATACAGATTGAGAAACAAAATATGGCCAAGAAAGACTAACTTTCAAAATTTTTCCTTGATTCTTTTCAAGTACACAAAGAGATAGGGTCTAAATACTTGTATTAAAGGTATTTCCAGTACACATTAAAAAAAAAATCTTTATTTGCTTGACATATTGGAAATATTATATATGTGCTTTCCAACCTTATGAAATATAAAATGGCTTTAACCATTGTTAGGTAAATACTAAGTGAGGAATGGAACAGACCAAATAATTTGTTTTTCAAATATTGATACAGAATTTCATGAAGTGCTGAGCAATGAAAGAACTTCCAGTTATATGAGAGAGCATAACCATCTAAATGGTTGGTCTTCAGATGAAAATGATTGGAATGAAGAACTCTATCCAGTGTGGAAAAGAGGAGACCCGAGGTGGAAAATGTCCTGGAAAGGTAAGTCAAAAGATTCAACGCAAACAGCTGTCATTTCCTATTTAAGTTAGTTTCCAAGGTTCTAGACTTAGAGATTATGTGGCTTATGTTTCTTCTGTGAATATACTCCAGTTACCAAATGGGAAGAATTTGGATTTGGCAATTTTCCCTTTATCTCAACATATTACTTACACACACACACACACAAACACACACACACCAGTTTAATCTCCTTAGAATTATACTTCTTGGAAGATTTTGGAGAGAGCAGATTTAGCCTCAAACCTGTTTAACTAATATGTGAATGGTCACCTTCAGAAGATCTGAGACTCCAGAGTTGTTTTTGACCATCTCAAAAGTGTGGTTTGTCGGAAAGTGAGCATCTTTTCATTCACATGAATGAATGACTTCTTTCATCATTGGTTTTGAGATTAAGAACACAGACCTTTAATACTTTTCTCCTCAATCCAATTGAGCAGATTTTCTTATTATTTTAAGTATGTTTTTTTCATCTTTACAGAATTCTTTAAATGGTCTGACTTCTTTTTCTATTCCTCTTCTAGAATGTTGCACTCAAATCAAAAATTAAGAATCCAGAAAATAAATTAATGTATCATAAAGAGGCACGAGGATCCTCCAGCTGGTCCTTATAAGTAGATTTAACTTTATCAGGGAAAGGAAAGAGAGATGCTTGATCACTGAACTCCACTTTTCTCTTGTCCTAGGAGGCCACATGCAGGTGAATCTGACCAGTGATTCCCCAGCACTGGTGGGCTCAAACATAACATTTACGGTGAAGTTGGTATTTCCCAGATGCCAAAAGGAAGATGCCGATGGCAACATAGTCTATGAGAAGAACTGCAGAAATGGTAAGGAATGTTCTTCACGTCACAGGAACACACACCCTAGTTCTCCAAACTACTGGATACAGTAGTAGTTCTCGTAAACTACTGCGGATCCATCTCAAAAACTTGAATGCTCACAGGTACTTCTGTAAATGCAAGATGCTGCTATCATCCCATGTTACCCACTCCTCAAGTAGGATGACAAGGAGGGTGAGCATCACCCTTCATCAAAATCATTAGCCCATGCCACGTCAGCAAACTGGTGACTTGGAACCCTTTTCAGAGCTATTGTCTATACTGTCATGCTCAGCTTTTTCTTAGTGTCCAGTTGATTAGACAGAGGATGCCTTATTGATTCTTCAGTTTTGATTTTATTGCTTGGAATTCTTTTGGCTATTCAGAAAATACCCAATTTGACGGATATTCGCTGATCAGTTTAATTTCTGCTCACAAGTGTTTCTTAAGCAAATGCTGTGTGTATAGATTTTGGATTTGCTATGCTCTCGTTAAAGCAGATGAGCTCTTTGTACATGTTAAAGAGCACAAATGAACACAAATAAATCAAGAGAAATTATCTGTTAGAACTGGACATTCTCAAAAACTCCGAACTTCGATCAGTGACAAGGCTGTTAAATGCACTTATGATCTGATTTTATTATTAGAACTTCTATTAAATTGTCAGTGTGTTCATTCCTTCTTAATGTATCTTCCTATGAGGAAAACATTAGATTTTATTTAGAAAGATTTTGATAGTTTAAAAAATGTTGTATTTAATATTCCGTAGCATTTTTCTTTTTTTCAAAAAAAGCTGATTCTTACGAACATTTCAAATGACAATCTAGCCCTCTAAGCATTTTTATATGAAAGAGTCCTTGTGACGTCTGAAAATTTTAAGAAAATGTCTATTACTACGGAAAGGAATTAAGGATCTTTGAAGAAATGACAGATTCCAGGTATAAGGTAGGAAGAGTACCAAATGAGCTGGCACATCTTATTGTGCCAGAAAACAAGGAGGACTCAAAGACTAATGGGGACATGTCATAAGGACACAGACGCCAGACTGAAGGAGCTCCCCCTGGCCATGTTTAGGTCAATTTAAGAATAAAAAATATTAATGACAGTAAGTGACCAATCAATAAAAAGACTCTCCATAAATGTCAGTGAAATTAAAAAAAACAAAAAAACAAGAGAGTGAGGAGGTTGTGCTAGATTGCTAGATGAAAAGATATTGCCCGTGACTTATTTAAAATGAAAAATGTCACATGTACAGAAAAGTAGAAAGGAAGTTATATTGAGAATTCAAATACCCTCTACCTAAATACAACTATTTAAATATTTTGCTATACTTGCTCTTTTCTTTCTTTCTCAACCTTTCTTTCTTTCTGAAACAAAATAGCCAAAAGTGGTATGCAACCCTCGATTACCATCATAGGGGTGGTAATGACGTTGTGTCTATGTAGGAGAATACCTTTATTCTTAGATGTGTGCTGAAGTCTTCAGGAGTGGAGAGTCATAACGTCAAATGAGTCAGCAAGAAGTAGAGTGTATCCAAATAAAAAGATAAAGCATCTCTCTGTTCGGTTTGAATACAGTTGTGATTTGGAAACCTAATATGAAGATAAAATATATCAAGTTATATCTCTAGATTGAACTTTTATGAATAACTGCTTTCTATAAAACTTATTGAAATATAACATATATGCAGGAAAAAATGCACAAGTCACAAACATACCACTGGATGAATTCTGAACATTAGGGTTTTACTTGTCCACCTAATATTTAAACTAGTTATAAAAAAAATGTTTAATTCAATGATGATCATTGAGCATTCTGAGTCCAGATGACAATCATGGCTTGTTTCTTTCTCGATTTAGATACAGGTCCATCTCCTGACCCATACGTTTACAACTGGACAGCATGGACAGAGGATGGTGACTGGGGAAATGGCACCAACCAAAGGCATCACGTGTTTCCTGACGGAAGGCCTTTCCCTCACCACCATGGATGGAGGAAAATGAATTTTGTCTACATGTTTCATACACTTGGTTGGGCTTTTACAAATTCCTTCAGCTTTTTCTTTACCTTTCTTAAAATTTAAATTTTTTTTTTCTCTTTTCTTATTCTGTAATCAAGAACCATAACACTGAGAGTTTAATAATAGTTAATCTGCTAACTTTCTTTAGCTGGATGGAGAGGGAGGGATAAAAATAAAATCTTAGTTAGCCTTGCAAATCTCGAGGAATTAAAAAGGCGGAAAAAAGCAGATCCAGCTTTCTTTTTAAAAACAAAAATTGAGTAGATTTTTTTCTGACTAAAACAGTAATATGAAAAACATTAATATTTATTTGAATGGCACACAGATGAACATTTGTTGATTTATTCTTTATTTTTCATATTGTCAAATGAATTTTTAGTAATTAAAGAAACTTATGTTCTTTTTAGGAAATTTAGAAAATGCAGAAAAGTCAAATGAAAAAACTCATAATTAACACTAGAGGTTATCACTTAACATGACATTGTTTACTAGTATTTCTTGATTAAAATTATAATGTGTACACATTTTTTCTTAATATCATGAACATTTGACTATATCATTAAAACTCTTTATATGCATTATTTTAATTACTGTGTAATATTCCATTGTGTAGAAATAGCATAACCTAACCACAGTTCTACCTTTTTCTTTTTTTAACTACCAATGGTATCCACTTTGCTTTATTACTAGTGAAGTAATTATTTTTAGGAGCAGCAAATTTAGGTTATTACTTGCAAAGCTGCTAAGTTCTTAGTTAAAAATGTCACCAGGTGCCACCTGGCTGTGAGTATTTGAAAGCTGCTACCAATCGTGCAGCCTCCAAATTTCTAAATGTTTTGTCTTTCTGTGTAAATTAGAGAAAGCTTCTCTTTCTTCAATTAACTTATTTACAAATCAAAACGTAAATATTAATAATACATTCCAATTGAACAAAGCACAAAATATGTATATCAAATATTATGAAAAAAATGAAAATAAAATATTATGTCCATCTATTTGAATCGGTTGATTTAAAGCTGACTTTTCTTCAGTGCCTTCATGGCCTCGTCAGTCAACTCACCAAATGTCATGATTTCTTTGACCTGGCAGTTTGCAATGTCATGATTTCTTGACCTGACAGTTTGCATGGGGTCACTTATGCTCACTAACACTCCAGACTCTTTTTAGCCTAGTTAACTGGTTGAGATGTTTTTATTTAAAATCAGCTTTCAGCCAGAAATTGCTCTGTTTTTCTAACAACACTTTTGAATTTTCATCTTCTGCTGCAGAGGTCTCAGATCTAGTTGATATTCTCCCTCAACTAAGCGCAGCCCCTGTGATCTACCTCTTAGTGCCAGAACTCACATTTTCCTCACTTATAACTAACACGCCGAGAGACGCCTCTTCTCTACAACCTGCATCAGAACTGCCTCTGCGTTTTAAAGTTAAGGACAATTCCAAATTACACACTCCTTAGAAGACTAGTATATTTCTGACACCTTTGACCATGTGACAAACATGGCTTCTAACTATCCCCACCTCACAGGCATCCACCTTACAATACCTGTTGTTCCAATGACACATCTATACTAGGTGTCTCGATAGGATTAGAAAAATCCTTGAGCTCTGACGAAGAGGAATTACTTTCACTAGTTGACAGTGGCGGTTAGATTCAAGTTAGGATTGGAGAAAGAAAAAGAATAGCTCAAGGGTGTCCTAGAAATGTGTTTATGGAACCACTTCCTTCTTTTTTATACCCACCATAGCTTTTATCACTTACTGCAATAATTATATACAAATACCATTAGAAGGTGGAGGATTCTAGTCCCCTAAAAACAGCTGCTTAACAATATAGCTGAAATAGTAATATTGTTACAAAAATAAGGTAGATTTCTGGATAAATTTTTAAAAACTCCACTGGATACCTCACCATGTATTTTCTATGGGAAACACATGTATTTCAAGTGCCAGATCACTTACTTATAAAAACTATTTATTTGTAAATTAATGACTGTATTATGCCACTAAACAGCTCTGTAAATTTTAAACAACTATATGCAATTATGTTTATTTAACTGTGTGTTCGTTTTACATAAAAATGAACATCATCTTCCTTCCTTTCCACATCCCCATCTTGTTTTCCCTCCCCAGAGCAATCTCTAAGTGGCAGTCACTAGTATTTAAGAAGCAACTTCCTATAATGATCATGTAAGGGAACTAATACCTAAATATTTCCAACCTCTCAAAGGTCAGTATTTCCAGAAACTGGGACGGTGTTCAGCGAATGTTTCGGTAAACACAACCAACATGACGCTTGGCCCTCAGCTCATGGAAGTAACTGTCTACAGAAGACACCGATGGTCATATGTCCCAATGGCAAAAGTAAAAACTGTGTACGTGGTAACAGGTGAGCAGTGTGAACTCTAAATTAACTGTGATGAGGCACTTAGTATCTGGTGATGTTAGTGGGTTAAGAAAGAGTTAGAGCCAAGTGTTTTGGGTTAGGTTACAATTCATCTGGACTCCTTCTCAAATTCATTTATATTTAATGAAGTATTCTGTTTTCCAGGATAACTTAGGGAAACTCTAGAAAACTTGCATAGGAAAAGGAAAAATGATGCTGCGTTATCCTCAATTTGAATTTTTAACCTAAAAGCATTACTGAAGCAATCCACTTAAAATCAAGCAATCATGCATTTTTTTTTCTTGGTTGTATCTTTTAGATCAGATTCCTTTATTTGTGGATATGTCTCAGAAGAACGACCGAAATTTGTCTGATGAAACCTTCCTCCGGGGCCTCCCCATTACGTTCAATGTCCTGATTCACGATCCCAGCCACTTCCTCAATGAGTCTGCCATTCAGTACAAGTGGAACTTCGGTGATGGTACTGGTCTCTTTGCCTCCAACAATCACACTTTGAATCACACGTATGTGCTCAATGGAACCTACAGCTTTAACCTCACTGTGCAAGCTGCAGTGCCTGGGCCTTGTCCTTCACCAACACCCAGACCTCCAAAACCCACCCGGTCTTCACGTAAGTGTTTTCCCAGGTGATCTTTGGCAAAGAGGGCTGGGGACTTTAATCTCTAAAAAAATAAATAAATAAATAAAACCTGTCATGCAAGTTACAGTATTAGGTCCCTACTTGAAACAGTTGTGTACAAACTCTACGACAATCCTATTCTATACCTGTTGATTTTTTAAAGCCACTTTACCACCGTTTTGACTATAGGAATATGGAAAAAAAGAATATGTTTAAACTCACTTTGCAGGTAGTATTTGGAGGCTTGTATACAGCTCTTTGACCACCCTCATTTTCACTGGCCCTTGTTGTGCGTGCAGGTGCTTTCCCCTCCCAGCCCATCACATTTCTGTGTGTCTCCCATTTTTTGTCACTAGGAGAAGACACACTGGCCCCTTGTAAACATTCAGGCCATCCCACTTTCCTTCCTCTCCCTCCAGCCTTCCTCCCCACTCCCATTCTCCTCCCTCCCCTGCCCTTATCCACCTAATGTCCTAGGAACACAGCAACCCTTAAGAGCAGTTTCTAAATGACCCAAAGAAGAATGCACTTTGAGAATATTTGTTGGCTAGCAAGCTGGAAAGACTCCTGACATTAAAAATTGTCCTGGTTGTAAGGCATAATTAATTAGATGCCACTCCTTCCCCATATCAGCCATAAGAACATCTTAGTACCTCAGGATCCAGGAGATGGTAATAGGCTGTCACTGGTCACATGAGAGTGCCATCACTAAGCCCAGAGGGAACACTCTATTATGACGTCCAGATTGTTGCCATTGTTTTTAACAAAACTTGTTAGTTATAAATAATAAACTGTCATAATAGTGTGTTATTAATAAAACAAGATCTTGTTAAATCAAGACTATCTAAATCAAAAAAGACACTATAATTTTGATTAATTCTTTTCTGAGATATTTTAAAGTACAAAATTAATGCACGTTCCTTAGTAAAAATTCACATATAGAAATCTAGAATAAAAGTGAAAGTTCCTATTCGCATGCTCCTCATAGGAGTTAAATCCTGTTAATAGTTGGGAGTGTTTCTTCCCAGATCATTTCCTATGCATTCACAAACATATTTTATAAGTACGCATAGAGTTTATTTGGTTTTTATGTAAATGGGTTCATGCTATATATATTGTTCTACAGTTTTCTTTTTTTCACTTAACAAACATCATGGAGATCTTTCCATTTATCAACACATGTAAATTTAACTCACTTTATTCAATGGCTACCTAGCATCCCACAGTATATATAAACTATAATTTATTTAACCATTCTCTTACTGATGGATGATTAGGTTACTTCTAATTCCAATCACAATATAACCGAACAACTCTAAATATATAGCTTTGTTCTGATATTTCCATAGGAGGATCAGTTTCTTTATCTACAACTATTGATGGTTTTCCTTACAAATAAAAGTGCCAGGTATAAAATTCAAATTAAATTACAGATGCCTGTAATATCTAGACCTATCTAGAAATTCTTGAATGGTAAAGAGCTTAATGTTAGGTTATTTAATACTAGTCTATTTTAAATTGCATTTTTATTAATGTAGCTTGTTTTTCTTAGAACCTATTAGAAAAATATTTTTTAGTCAATGAAATGGTATTTTAAATTTCTGTTATTATTTTTCCATAGGTTAGACCATAAGATATAAGATAGTAACCTTATGAGTTAAGTTTTATAGTTCAGGGAATCTGTCTGGCTTTACATAAAGGTGTTAGATCAACCATAATCAACTCCAAAATGTCTTAAAGCAGCTATAAGAGTTGGGGAAGAGGAATGGGTGGGAATAAGTAATGGAACCCAAGGTGATGATAGGAATCAGCCCATGACTTGAAAAGGAGAGATGAGGTGGGGTATTTGTCCTCTAGAAGAGAGAGCATTTTCAGCTATGCATACCATATTATCAGGCTTGGATTATTGAGCACTGGATTCTTATTGAACCAAAAATTATATTCTCTCTGCTTTGGTAAGTGGCTTCATAAGAAAGTATAGCCATTAATAGAAACGAAATGCCACCACAGGAGTGAGACAGAAGCAGAGCTGAAAAAGCGATTTAGAAAAATAATTACATCATAGAGCAGCAGACAGGCATGAACTAGTTCAAAGTCACACATGTTCATTTTTCAGACTTTTGTGAACAAATCTGAAAAGAACAACTTTGAAACTTTGTAAGACTAATGCTGATCAGTATAATACTACACATATATCATATCATATCATATATCATGTCGAACTTCCCCAAAGAATCAAGAGTTCTCATACCATTCTCTGGGAGATAGGCACCGAAATAGTGAATTAAATATGCAACTTGCCTTCTTTTTCATCTGTCTTTTAATGTGTTAGTTTTTCTCCATTAGCCCCTTAATCATACCTTGACTTTATAGATATAGGTATATAGTTATAGACTTGACTTTAGATATATCTACAAAATGCCGTATGCATTTTGACTTTTATTATTTGATCATTTGTTTAAAAGAAGTGTTATTTTTAAATACAGCAGGGTCTCTATTTCATGTTCTAAATTGACAGCTAAATTCTGCCTGGCAAGAACTTTAAAAGAAGGAATTTTCCTGTTTTCTGGGAAAAGCCAGCCATCTTTAATACTTTGCACATATGTCACCATAAAACAAACAAACAAACAAACAAATAATAAAAATACTTCACACAAATCTATTACTGCAGAACACATCAGTTAAATCTCAAGACAAAATAAATGGTTATCCTGTAACTTTCAAAGGACCATCGTGAAACTCAGGGGACATTCTCAGGAGCCTGCCGCAGCCAATCTTGCTGATAAACCACTGCATTTAAATCCAGCATGGTGTCAGAACCCTTCGGGGCTTTACCCAAGCAGCGTTTCCCAAAATGTGTGCCATGGAACACTTATTTCCAGAGATGCTCTGCCACTAAAGGCTCTGGGGAAATCTCCCAACTGGCTTCATACTTAATGTCACTGTGTTAGAGATACAGTCCTCACAAAGCTTTGATGCGCTTCCCCCAAAACTGAGTCCATCTTCATATCTTTTGAAATTTAAGAGAAAAATAGCGTTATATTTTCAGTATCATGTTTTCTTTCCAGTCTTTTTATCTTATTTTAAAGGACTACCAATACCTTGATTAGAGCTTTTTAAATTGTAACTTTTTTCTTTTCTTTTTTTTTTTTTTTTACTGAGGTAAAATTGGTATATAACATTGTATTAGTTTCAGGTGTACAGAGTATTAAATTCTTTGCTCTAGTCATACTCAAAGGGTTATTTTTCAAAATCGTCTTATATTTGCTCCTTTCCTTCCTCACACTTTAGCTCATCAATAACTGTGAGACTTTTAGAATGTAAACTTTGGAGCTATGAGACATCCAAATGGGCAAAGAATTACCTTTTATTCATGTTGCTTCTTAATCTATTATACACCAATCTTAACATTTTAAATTATGTCTTAAATGTTATAGTGTATCCATATCTAAATAGATATATAGAAGTACATGTCGAGACAAGGAAACATATTTATTAAATATTTCCTATATGGCAGGCATGAGAAGCAGGTTTTATATACCTTATTTAAGTTTCATAGTTCAACTCTACTAGGTCAGGAAATATTATTCTTCTTTACATATGAGCAAATTGAGGCAAAGTGAGGTTAAATATGCCCATGGTCTCAAACGGCCAAGAACAAGGAACTGAAATTTAAGCTCAGAATACCTGCCTCCAAAATTAAAATATGACTTTGTCTATTATGGCCTGCTTTCTTTCATCATGGTTGTTTTATCACACATTTTAACATGGCTTCTACCTTTCATTTGCTTCCTATATTTAAATAAGATGGGATTGTGTTTATCTACATAATTTAACAATCATAATGCTTTACAGCTCTCACATCTTTATGAATCATTACACGTTTAGTTCAATTTCTGTAGCAATTTAATAGTAAAAATTATTGATATTCTTCTAAAGAGCAGGTAGTGAGATGTTTAGATTTTTGGCTATAACATATACATCTTTTGAATTCTCAGCAACTAATCTAAAATCTTATTCAAACTCTCTAGTACCTGCTGGTGACAACCCCCTGGAGCTGTGGGAAACTCCTGATGAAAACTGCCAGATTAACAGATACGGTTACTTTAAAGCCACTATTACAATTGTAGGTAAGACCAGCCAGAAGGATGTTAGAATCTACCTCCGGCCACACACTCACTTTGCTGATTCTGAAGGGGTGGGGTTGGGGAACGGGCACCCACTCTCTCTGTCCAGGGTGATACCACATATGCACAAGCAAAGGCTCTATGAATTTCTAGATTCCCACCTGCTTACGCCGGCCCTCCATAGACATCCTGGCGGAAATGATCCCTCCGTGAGGCCCACGTACTAACATCCTGCAGGGGCCTGGATGCCCGATCCTGTGCATCTCAGAGATCTGAATGATTGTGCCTTGAAGGAAGGACAGTAACAAGTTCCCACAACTTCCACTCTCTTCCTCCAGCTAATTTCACTTATTGTATGTAAGAAAGGAATGAACAGGGCCACCACACCTGGCTATACATCTTAGGCACAGCCCCCAGGTGCCCAACAGAGAAAATAAGTGGGGGCTGAAGCCCAGGCTGTGTACCCTGACTCTGAGATTAAGGGCTAGAACTCTGCTCTATGCCCTGAGGCCAAGCCACCTCTGCCCAGAGAATCTGGCAAGGCCTGAGCCTGGGGGCTGCATCCCCCCAGGGGTACCTTTTCCTAAAACACCTGCTCAAAGGTCATGCTGCCTTATAGCACAGACACAGGCTCCAGGAGTAAAGAGCTAGGTTGGACTGAAGAACAGTTCAGTTTGACTTTGAAAATGCTGCATGGATGTGAATCCAAAGTTATGGGATAGATTCCCTGATCTGGTGTGTTTCTGGTATGGCGAGAAGTCCGTCTCCATTTTGTTTGGCCTTCCGATTTGTTAAGGAGTGTTTTGAATTGGTTGGATTTGGTTTGGTTCCCATTGTGTTTTGATATTTTTTCCTATGGGATTGTTTTGTTAGATGGAATTCTGGAGGTTAACATCATTCAGATGACGGACGTTCAGATTCCCCCGCCACAGCCTGACAACTCCCTGATGGATTTTGTCGTGTCCTGCCAAGGGACGTGAGTACATTATCTCAGAGGAAGGGGTCGAATGAGGACCCCAGGCATGAAAAGAGGGCTCGACCCCAGTCTCCCCTTCTAAGATGATTTAATTGCTGGTTCATCAGTAAGCCGGGACAAGGAAGGACTCTCAAGCACTTGGTTTGCTAGAGTTGAGCGATGCTCATTAATTTTAATTGTTGATGAAGTTGAACGATAATTTTTGATTGAACACTTACTATGTTCTTAACATTTTACATCTGTTCTCATATCGAATCCTCATACAATCCTAGGAGTCTCCTCATTTCATAGATGGGGCCATAGTCATAGAACTTGCTCCCATAGACAGTGGGTACTGGGCAGAGCACGGTTCACAGGTCGAGGTCTGGCTCCAAACCCCTCTCTTAAGCTCCCTGAGCCTCCTCCAGAGTAGCAGGAGGCCAGTGTGGAATGGCTGTGTCCTGGCATTAGTTAATAGCAATGCCTGATAATCCCGTCTCTCTTGATAATTTGCAAAGCTCTCCTAATGCATTAGATAATAAGACTTCCTATGGTTTGGTTACAACTGTATATAATAGACTAAATAGATATTAATATATGTACTATAAATATATGTACTATATCAATTAACTAATTAAATATGTTCATGAATTGATTTACACATGTGTAAATCGAGTAATTAAAATATGTGTATGTAAATGTATAAATGAATCAAGAACATGAGCTGGTATAAAAACGTGGCCTTATTTGATAAAAAGAGAGGCAAAGAAACTAGAGGAAAAGCTGACTGAAGGAGCGAGGCTGCTGCAAGAGGCCGGGGCGCGCCCTGCATCTCACCCACGCCCTCGCTGGACCCGGCATTGGTCTCTCCCTCCAGGAAGTCTGCTCAGAAGCGAAACAGTGACTTTGACAGTAATGCATGGCCTAGCAGTCTAGTGATGACAAGGACAGTTGTCAAACACCTTTTGTTCAAGTCCCAGCTTTGTCTCTAACTGCTTGTGTGACCTTGAGCTAATTATGTCCCCTCCTAGAGCTGGTTTGTCCACTGGCACACTGGGATATTACTTTCCTCATAGAGTCATTGAGAGGAATAGATGAGACCATGTCATCTATCTAAAACTCAGTGCCTTGTGCACAGTAAATACCACATAATCAGCTGTCATTGCTGCTGCCACCGTTATAGCTCTGCAGGAACCCAGGCAGGGCCAGCTCCTCTGGCATTTAATAACACCTTTGCCTAACACCGAGCGGTCTGCATCTTCGGGCATGCTAGGGAGAGGAAAGGTAGAGGGAATGACGTGGGCTTCACACCATTTCCAATGGCCCCTTGCCTTGGGGGACATAATTTCTTTCTCCTCCACCCCAAGGGCCTCACCTTCCACAGGATACAGAGAAAGCAATAGCTCACATCCAGGCTTGTTTAAGGGTAAACGATATATAACAATTCAACATCGTATGGTTTGAGTAAAAATAATGCGGCATTCAATTTTATAGAAATGTAATGATTTTCCCTTTAAAACAACTACACTCCTCTCACCCTCTTGGTGCTGTTTACGCCCTTAGCATTCCCAAAGAGGTCTGCACCGTAATTTCTGACCCCACCTGCCAGATCGCCCAGGACACATTCTGCAACCCTGTGGATGTGGGTGATATGTGCTTGCTGACTGTGAGACGGGCCTTCAACGGATCCGGGACATACTGTATGAACCTCACTCTGGGTGATGATGTGAGTCTGGCCCTCACGAGCACCCTCGTCTCTGTCCCAGGCAGAGGTGAGTTTCTTTTTATGGTTGTACAAGCATTTCCTATTGCAAATAAAGGGTGTTGTGTTCAATACTAGAGCTATTCAGAGCTTTGTCATCAATGTTTAATTTCGTTTCAGTGCAAAATTCATTGAACTATTGTTAATGTGGATTTGAGAATGAGCCTTAAAATTCAACAGCAAATCTACTTAGGGAAGGGATGAGAGAGACGGACCGAATAAAATAGTGGCCAAAGAAAAGCCTTTTGCTGAAAAAAATCTGCTGTGATCATGGACCAGTAATAACAGGACATGATCACCGCATGCTCGAATAGATTTGTATTTCAAGGGGGAAGTGTAAAGCCCAATATCAAAAAAAAAAAAAAACAACAATGTTCTCCAATTAAACTATAGCAAAGAGTGAGCTGGTATCATGTTGTCATTAGAATCTACCTGGGCAAAGATATGAAGCCAAGAAGAGAAATGAGAAGCCAAGTGGACTCCTGGCTCCCTTCTAACTTGCCACATGTCCTTTCTTTCCCTCCTCATATTCTCCCAATCATTATATTGAGACCGTAAGAAACCAATGGACCTATTTTCCAGATGCTCACCAGAAAATTAATCTCTACCCTCCTAATGCTCGGAGAGGCAAAATATTAACAAAGTGGACTAAAAAATTTCATTGAGAAATTTTCATTTGCTGGTGGCTTCCAGTGTTTCCCAGCCTCAAAAGTAGGACTCTACCTGGTGATCCTAACTGAACGTCACTTGTAACCAACTTTGTTGTGAGTTACTGTGTCATCTTAGAAGGAATGCTACGTGGTGGAAAGGAAAGGGGAGATTAAGTTGTGCTTCTTAATTTGAGCATTATCAGGTACGATCTAATGACCAACTCACAAATAACTCCTTTGGACTTGGAGCCTAGCTCATAAAGTTAAATAAACATAGAGTTATCCGTTAATGAAAAAAAAAAAAGGCAGCTTTAACCTCATTGAAAGAAAAGCTTAAGGAATCATACATATAATTATTTGTATGAGGGCTTATCGTTGGTAAGATCCAAGGTGTAGGTTTAAAAAAAGAAAAATAATACAAAAGTACCTTACTTTGTGGGGTGGGGTGCATTGGGGTCCTCGGGTGAAGCGCTCAAGAGAAGGGCGGAAAGGGGCAGGCCTTGGCCTCTGTTTCTGAGTGAGTGGGGATCTTCAGCCTCCATGAGCTGCTGTGCTTACTGCGCGGGTGCTACCACAGTTTTTAGGAATTGCCTTTAGACGCATAAACTGGTCTGTGAAACTTCCTCGGTGCTGGCAAACCACAGTTCTCTTATCCGAATCAGTTGTTTAGATATTTGTGCTCCTTTAATTTTTGTAGTGAGTGATAACTTGAGGTGTGACCTGAGCCATTTTCAAAAGCCAAATAATGGAAGTTCAGAAGGAGAAATTTTTTTTTTTAGCAAATACAATAAACTCTTTATTTGATATGTGTAGAGATTATCAACAACAACGAAAAAAGGTAACCCATTTACCTACTTTTCAGAAGGAGAGCTTTTAACCCAGTGGCAATTGTAATTTGATGACTCCGGTTTCAAAGTCAGAATTTCAGAAATAGGTCATTGTTCAAAGGCAAACCCATAGACTTTTAGCTGAAATGACTTTTTTTTTCTTGATGCAATGAACATGCATGAAGCTCCTGCAATTCTTCCAACAAGCATCTACTCCATGCCCGGCACAGCTCTAGATGCAAGATACACAATTCTAGATAGAGTGGGGAACAAGAGGAAGAAGACCCTTGTTTTCGTGAGCAGAAACAGACAGTAAACAAATAAGATGACATTGTGAAGAAAATAAGGTCAGGGCATGGAGAGTGACCAGCGTGGAAAAGAGAAAACAGAGGTTGGCCCTGTAGATTGTGAGGTCAGGGGGAGTCCTGCATACCCAGCAGCACAAGCTTGGTGAAGGGCCTCCTCTGAACCGAGACCCAAATTTCAAGAATGAGCAGCCTGAGATATGGAAGCAGCCTAAGTGTTTATCAACAGAGGATTAACTAAAGAAGATGTAGTACATATATATATTCCATTGTGTATATATATATTCCATTATATTATATATATATATACACATACACACACACACACACGCAATGGAATATTACCCAGCCATAAAAAAAAAAAAAGAATGAAATCTTACCATTTACAGCAACATGGATAAACCTAGAGGGTATTATGCTAAGTGAAATAAATCAGACAGAGAAAGACAAATGCCATATGATCTCATATGTGGAATCTAAAAAACAAAATAAACAAAGCAGAAACAGACTCATAGGTACGGAGAACAAACCAATGGTTGCCAGATGGGAGAGGGGCTAAGGGGGTGGGATAAAAAGGGTGAAGGGATTAAGAAGTGCAAATTGGCAGTTACAAAATAGCCACAGAACTGTAAAGTATAGCATAGGGAACATAGCCGATAATATCGTAATAACTATGTATGGTGCCAGGTGGGTACTAGACTTATGCAGAAGATCACTTTGTAAGTTATATAAATGTCTAACTGCTATGCTATACCCTTGAAACTAATATAATATTGAATGTCAACCAATTGAAAAAAAAAAAAGTCCATGTAGACCCTTGTAGGCCACCAGTAGAATTAGGGTTTTATTCTGTGCATAAGAGGAACCATTTAAAGCATGGTCTTGATGCTTTTTGGTTGTAGTGATGGCTGAGAGAAGCAAGAATCATTGGGAGGTAAAATTGAAAGCAAGTAGACAATTAAGAGGTCTTCTTGGAGGAGAGGGCTGGTGGCTGGGACTGTAATGGTGGCAGAGGAGAGGGAGGAAAAATAAACACGTTATATATTGATGGTAAAGACAAGACTAGTTGATTTGCTGAGTTCCAGGAGTACAGAGAAGATATAATCCTTGCTTCATGCTTCTCATAATCTAATTGGAGAGAAATATGTAGAAGGAAGTAATTGCAACACTATGTGATCAAGGCAGAGGAAGAGAGCCAAGTAGTGACCAAGGAAGGGATGACCAGCTGCCTCATGAATGTCCCAATGGGGTGGACACCTGAGACAAACTAAGGGAAGGACCTACCAGGAAGAAAGCATGGAGATTTGAAGTGCATGGGGCTGATGGGCAACTCCCACAATGTTTAGCGCAGCTGGAAGGTAGGTGGTGGGAGAGGAGACCAGAGTTGAGGGCAGGAGGCTCACGGAGCCCTTCACCACGTGGGCACTGCTGGGTCAGATGAGACCTTAGCAGGCATCTCCAGGACATGACATCTCTCTCCTGAGCCCTTAACACAGTGTTCCAGACATGCTAATTCATTCTCTAAATGGAAGATAAGCTGACCCAAAGACTATGCATTATTTAATGGAAAAGATTACTGAAAGTCCAAAGGGAGCCATATATCTTCTGAAAGCTCCCTCTCTCATTTATTTAATTGCATTAGAAGCAGCATGTTCTCCAGGTGGAAGAGGTCAATCATATGGTCTCTCTTCTGTTTTAAGGCCCAGGCTCCCCTTCGAGAATGGTAAACGGTGTCCTGGTCTCTGTTGGCAGCTTGGCCATACTTGTCGCTGTGATCGCCTTCTTGGTGTACAAGTAAGTTGCTGGTTCTCACACTTTAAACCTCTATAGTATACTGTCAAAAATAAATAGCAATATGCTGCACAAATGGGTTATTTTCCCTTTTTGGCTTTTAACCATTTTGTGTGAGGGAGAACAATCTCCCATTGAATGATGAATACCAAATTAGCCTGTTGATTTTGCTATGTTTTTTTAAAAATCCTAAATACACTACCAGATGTCATTAACTTTACAAAATCGTGTCAGCTTAATATTTAACATATAATCTCAAATTATAGTAAACAGGCGCATTTCTTGCATGAAGAAAAGAAATATATTTCCACAAGACATCAGTGTCTTAAAAGCCATAGGTTAAATGGAATGAACCAATTTGTTGTTTGCCCTTTGCACTGAGCATGTAAAAGATTGTAGAAAGTAACGTACTCCAGCTAGAGATCTTTTTAAAATCTGTCTAACACTTTGCTTTCAGAAAACACAAGGAATATAAACCAGTAGAGGACAGTACTGGGATCAAAGACAAAGGCCTGAATGCTTTCCTCAACCATGCAAAGGCCAAGTTCTTCTCTGGAAGCCGGGAGAAAGATCCACTGCTCAAGAACTCACCAGGAAATCTTTAAATCTTCAGCCTCGTTTCTGACCAACAGCTCACTATTCAGTGCCATGTACGTGAGATGTGCTCGAGCAGATGACCACTAACTTTTTTTCCTAAAGATTTTTGTAAAGTATATATTATGGTTTAGAGGGGTCCAATGTTTTTATAGGTTATATGATGTTTTAGAGAAGTGAGGAATTATATTGCACGCAGCCTCAACCATATTACATAACTGGTAAAATCAGTCAGCAGTGCATCCTTTCATTATGATTTATGTTTCATTTATAATGTCCAACGGCATTAGTAGGATAGACATGCTGTGTCCAAAGAGTAGGGGGAGAAGGTACTATTCATTAGTCTGACCAGGTTACCTGGAAGGAGAGGCTGGACACTTTGTAGCTTTCCATATAACCACATGCATAAAACCAATGTATTGTATTCCTGTCCTTAAGTTCACGTTCCAAGCTAACTGAATCCTATTTCAATGAACATGCATGAGCTTCTAACAGCATAATAACAGGCCAAGCCTCTACTACAGTGTATGCGTGTTATACTAAATTCAGCATCAGCATCATCAGCATCATCATCATATAATAAATAGGTGTGAATATTTTCATGGCAACCTGCCCTGACCCCCTGTGTAAAGGAATGGTATTCATTCATTCATTTATCCCATGAACATTTATTTAGTGCTTTCTGTATATCAGGCATGTTGCTAGACACATGGCCCAGCACTCACAGTGCTGACACTCTTGTGTATCTATCAGAATTTCTATATACTATGGTGCATGTATTTGAAATTATATGTTGTTTTCTAAAGAAGGAGGTCCTTGGTTTTCCTACGAGTTTCTCCATTTAAATGATAGAGAAACTTGATCAGTAAGGGTTTTACCTCTGTTTGTAATTATATCATATGCTAGACTTGACATTTTTTTTTCCTCTTCTTCCTGAAAAATAAAGTTTGAAAAGAGACGTGATCCTGGAATTGTAATTATTTTCCAACTTGTTGTTTGCCTTTCAATTTCCTCTATAGTTTTGACATATAAAAAGTCTAATGCTGCCTTGTGGAACACTGATACCTTAATAATCATTATATATTTATATATATACATATATACAGTATGTGAAATTTCAATAAATTTAATATGTAAATGTATATAATTGGACCAATCTAAAAGAAGAGGTTTTCTATAAGCAATTGTCCTGGACTGTTTGAACAGTCAGTATTATATTAAAAATAATGGCAAGTTCTAAGTTATAGAGCAGTAAACTTGTCCTGCAAAAGGCTAGGTAGTAAATATTTTAGGCTTTGTGAGCCATACAGTGTCTGTCGAAACTACCCAATGCTGCTAATGTAGCACGAAAGCTACCATATACATGCATGAAAGATCATAGTTATGTTCCAGCAAAAGCCTATTTACAAAAGCAGGTGGTCAGCCAGCTATGGCCCATGGGCCATAGTTCATTTCCCCCTGTTCTAGATGAGAAGACTAAAGAGGCACTGCAACTAAAAGCAATTTGGGCATCTAGATTGAATCTTGCATGGAAAGACAAAAGCTTCAAAAGACATTCCTGGGACAGATGAGGGAAATTTAAATGCATACTGGATACCAGATGATATTATGGAATCATTGTTTATTTTCTTAAGGTGTGATGAACATTTTCTTAAGGAGCTGGTGGAGATCAACATTTAATCTAGTTCCTTCACTTCATAGTTGTCCTAAAGGCCAAAAATAAGCTACTTATTCTTAAATCTTTTGTACCAAAGAGTACAAAATTTGCAGAATATGAATTGTGAAATTTCTCCTCAATTATGAGTTGGCCATAGGTCAGTGCTGCTCAACCACAGTTTACTTTGCCCTTTGTTTGGTTGTTACTACCAGGGTGGGTGATACTGGCATCTAGTGGGTAGAGGCCAGGAGTGCTGCTAAACATCTTACAAGCTACAGCATAGCACCCCACAATAAGCAGCCCACATTATCTGGCTCAAAATGTTAGAAAACCCTGTTGTGGAGTAGTCGAAGAAATCTTGGAAAGACTTGGATTTGAATCCAGCCCTGCCACTTAAAGCTGAGTAACCCTGGGTGAGTTATTTGCCCTTTCTTGGGCTTCAGTCTTCTTGTCTGTAAAATGGCTATGTGGTCCCTCCCTCACTTCACAGAGCTGCTGCAGACCTCTCTGAAAGAATAAATGGATGTGAAAGCCCTTTGTGTATGGCATAGTGGTATAGACCTTATGTGAGGCCTGAGGACAGAGCACTGGGAAGACACTTTATTATTTTTATGATGATTAGGAGGCTAGGACATTAGAACCTCATGCAGAAAAGTATTATCAAGTTGCAGCCGAATCACTTGGAGGCTTGTTAAAACACTGACTCCTGAGCCCCACCCCCAGAGTTTCTAATTCAGTGTTCTAGAGTGGGCCCCTATAATTTAGATTTCTCACCAGTTCCAGGGGATGTTGATAAGGCTGCTTTGCTCCCCGGACCTAACTCAGAAATGTGGTCTTAAGACCCACACTTTCCTTTTCATATCAACAGGGGGTAGCAGAGAGCAGCAAATACACCGTCAATCACCAAGGCAGCAGGTTTGAAGGCTGTGGAAACCCTCATCAAAACTTCCATTTCAATATAATGAATAGCAGGAGAGTGAGCTGAAATCATGAATTATTTAGATTTACATTCTTCATGTGACCTTGGCAACAAATCATTTATTTAACTTCTACCCAACGGCTATCTGTAAAATGGGGGAAATAAACTGAACGATGGCAGATGACAATTAATGTTTGCTGAGAATTAGAACTTCCCAAGAAAATTGAAAAGTGTAGGTAATAAACTATTCTGGGAATTTATTATCCCTAGGATTTTTTATAAACATCTGCATTTTAAACACTTCTGACTCATTCATAAACATTGGCTGCCCTTCCTGAGTTTTCAATTGTTTAATGGTTTAGAGGCAGTACTGTCCACGTCTTCATTATATCCAGAGTGTATGTATAGTGACTCCAAACCTAAGTGGCAGGCTAAGGACAGATGAGAAGATAGTCATGCAGGGGGTGAAGGTGACCACCTTCTGATGGGGCTCCTGGTTGGAGAAAAACCTTTTAAGATTTTTCTAAAGAAAGATCCCAGCCCCACTGGAATAAAAACGCAGAGGTCAGTTCCTAGGACTCACCTCTTGCAGACTGATTTTGATCTTTCGGCTATCATTTACTGAGCATCAGTATGTCCCAGGGGCTGGTCTGGAGGGTACGCGGCTGTGAAAAAGAGACAAGGACTCTGCTCTCCTGGAGCTTGGGTTCAAATGTTCACTGCATTGAGAGTGCTAACCTCCGGCCTGGGGTCTCCCATCGTGGCCAACACCACTGGCCTCAGCCTAATCTGCAGAAGCAGTTTCTCTTCTGTTTATAAGTGCACTGACATTTCTTTTGTCCTTGAAATTCTGGAATAAATTTTGCTTTGGAGAGCTTCCATAGGCCTTTTAGAATTTGGATGCCTTCATGGTATTTTAGTATTTAACCAATTTTCATTCTCTGTGTAATGTCCCCACAGATATCATTATGTCACTTGACTAGTCAAAATTTCTCTCAAATTTACAATGCAATTGTCACTGTTAATTGCATTGTACAGGTTTTAATGATACAAATTAAATATCAAGGTTTGAGCTTAATGAGTGTTAATTTTAAGGTGTTTATTAGAAAAAAAATCCTTTAGGATATTTAAAAAATGCTAACTGCTGATGAGAATGTGGCGGAAGGATTTTGTGGCTGTGGTTATAGCTTAAAATTTTTGTTTTTGGAATCGAGTAGAGTAAGGTAGGTAGAATATAAGATGTAGCCTGAAGCCAGACATGTTCCCTCTGTATGTCAAAATCTCCTTATCTACACAATGGAGGAAAGGCGGAGGAAAAGGAAGCTAAACTGGATGAACTCTGAAGTCTCTGGGTTCTAATGCTTTTCAGCACAAAATTGGGAGGACGATGTCACTCAATTTCCTTACAGTGATGTCAGGAGGGTCGTGTTCTAAATCAGGAGTTGGCACTACATACGGTGTGTGGGCCAAATCTGGCTGCCTGCCTGATGTTGTATGGCCCACAAGCAACACTTGGTTTTTATATATATGTTTAATGTTCAGGAAAAATCAAAAGAATGTTATTTTGTGCCACATAAAAATCATATTTCAAATTTCAGTGCCCATAAATAAAGTTTTACTGGAACATAGCCATACTCATTTATATATTATCAGCAACTGCTTTGCATACAACAGAATTGAGTATTTGGGACAGAGACCACATATATGGTCTGTACAGACTAAAACATTCGCTGTTTAGTCTTTTATAGAAAAAGTCTGCTGGTCTGTGTTTTAAAGCATTGTTGAACTCCGTTATGAACTGAATTGAGAAAACGAGAATCTTTCAGAGATTTTCAATAACATGAAATGTTATTTTCTTAATTGAATACCTTGAGCTCTTAGCCTCAAACTTGTGTTGCATTATTCAGTAATGATAACAAATGTTGTATTATTGGACATAGTAAGCTAAGTATACATTGTCTATGAACTGCTATGGAAAAATGTCAAAAACAGCTTTGAAGAAAAAAATATCTAATAATCCTCTCAGGAGAAATTACAAATAAAAGAATCACAACATGAAGAACCAAATGATGAAGGATTTCAAAAATTTTCAAAAGGACCAGCCATAAAGAAAAAGACCGATGTATCAGATTATGTTCCAATTTTAAAATTCTGTATGAAAAAGACACCACAAACTTCTTGTTTAAAACAACAACAACAACAACAACAGCATAGAATTCTCATGCTGCTGGTGGCAGTGCAAGCTGGGAAATAATTCAGTTTGGAACACAGTTTGGCAATGTCTTACAAAGGCAAATATACCTGTAATATGACTTGGCCCTTCTACTCCTAGGTATTTACCCAAAAGAAATTAAGATATGTTCATACAATGACTTGTACCTAAATGTTCATAATAATGTTACCTGTAATAGCCACAGACTAGAAACAGCCTAAACTTCCATCAACTGTGGAATGGATAAACAAATGGCATATGTCCACACAATGAAATACGACTTGACAATAAAAAAGAACGAACTATTGATAGATGGAACAACATGGATAAGTCTCAAAAGCATTATGCTAAATGAAAGAAGCCAGACATAACGCGTATGTTTATATGATACCCTGAAAAAGGCAAAACTATAGTGACTGAGAACAGATCCATGCTTGCCTGGGACTAGAGATTGGGGGAGGGGATCAACTGGGGGCACAAAGGAACTTTTGGGAGCAAAGGAAACATTTTATACTATAATTGTAATGGTTACGCAGCTGTAGGCATCTGTCAAATACCATCAAATTGTAGAGTTAAAATTGGTTGTGTTTATTTTATATAAACATACCTCAATAACGTTGATTAAAAATGAAAAGGCACAGACTGCAAGAATATGATTTCAATACATGTAACTAATAAAAGATTAGTGCCCAGATTATTTTTTAAAAAATTGTTAGGGATACAAATCATCACACAATGAGACATCATTTCACACCCACCAGACTGGCAAAAATGAAAAAGAAAATCTGATAAAATCAAGTGTTGGTGAAAGGGAGAACACCGGAACATGTGTACTTTGCTGTTGGGAGCTTAAACCGAAACAACAGTTTTGGGAAACAATCGGCATTATCTGGTGAAGTTGAAGGTGCACACACCCATGTTCCAGCAGTCTCACTTCTTGGTGTAGAATGCCCCAAGAAACCCTTGCACATGTGGTCCTGGGGACACGGACAAGCATATTCAGAACAGCATGGGGAACAACCCAAATGTCCCTGAACAGTAGAACGGATAACTCAGTTGAGATATACAATGGAATGTTAATCATTAGTGAAAATGAATAAATCTATGGCTATAAACACCAAGAGGAAAGACTCACCAACGTAATTTTGACAG